CTCTCTCTCTCTCTCTCTCTCTTTTTGATACGTCGCAAGAAGATATCAAAGCCATCGAAAAATTTCAAAGCCCTTTTCGTTATCTCTATCCCTCTCTCTTTATCCCTTTCCATTTTCTATTTTAAAAGGCTTCTACTAAGTTTTTTATTTTTATTTTTCTCAAAGTTTCTAAGATTTATTCAATTGATATTAGTTATATATAAATTATATGTATAAATAATATTATATGATATTGAATGGTAAGAGCATAAATTTTCTATAAAAAATTATTTTTAACGTAGTTATTCATTTCGATATAAGATATTGAAAAATTTCAACATTATTAATATATTACTTTAATACATATTTAATTTTTTTGCTATACTCTATATGAAATTTGTTTATTAAATTCGTGTAAAAGTTCGGAATTAAACGATTAAATAAATTTGGAATTTCTTTTTTTTTAGTTCTCATTCTCTGTCTCTTCTGCACCATCAACAACATTATACTTCTTTACCGAAGATCGAACATCGCGAGTATTATACCATGATAAGTCTTCACCTCGTTTTACCACGATAGAAATGGGAAACTTAATGAACTCCCGCTGTTTCGTGAAGGTCCTTTCTAAACAGTTAGGGTGAGAAAGAGAAAGAGAAAAAGAAAGAGAAAGAGAGAGATTCCCCGCAGAGTCCGTCATTACGGAATCAAAATTAAAGGCAAAGACGAAGAGAAGAAAGGGCATCCATCGTTCGTTCGGCTTATTAGTTTTGTACAGTGTTAACCGTGAGACTGGTTTCATGCTTAGGGTTCTCTATATAGTCAATTTATAAATCCGTATTAGATCAACTCCCCTTTTTGTTCTTCCCCATACGAATAACAACGAATTTTCATAAATGAGAAAATAAAAAACTTAAAAAACAACAAAAAGTAAGAATGAAACAATACATTTTGATATCTAATTAAATATATTTTAATATTCATAGAAAGTTTATTAAATTGACTAGAAGGAAAGTAGAAACAGAACGAAGGTAATTAATTTGATTATGATTAAAAAATAAAATATAATATAAGAAAAGAAAAAAAAGTGTTAAAAATACGAGAAAAAAATGATCAGAAACGATAAAGACGTGATAATAAACTGAGTGTATATATTTTGTGTCAGAAATAGTAAAGAGAATTGAGCGTATAGGTTTGAGTAGTAGTTCGTTATCATTGGTAGATGCTATTAAGCATCTTGGGAATACATATACATATACGCTGCCAATCATTGAAGAGTGCCGCGTGTGTACCACCACCGAGCGTAATGAAAGCCGTAACGCGTTAACGACGCTCGAACGGGTACGCATATACATCTACATATACATATATATAATATATTGCATAGATATGCACAGACAGACGGACGGACGAGACGGACGTGCACTACACGTAGAACGCCATGACGCGAGTCTGTAATATTCGACTAATTACAAACTTAATAACCCTGCTTCGTTGCCGGTTATCGCAAGGCCGCAACGTCTAAGCGATTTTAGTCTTCTCCTATCTTCCTTTCCATCTATCTCTCTCTCTCTCTCTCTCTCTCTCTCTCGTTCATTTCTCCTTTATTGTACAACTACTTGCATAGATTTAGTGAAAGATGAAAGAGAGAGAGAGAGAGAGAGAGAGAGAGAGAGAGAGAGAGAGAGAAAGAAAGAAAATGAAACGGAGGCCATCCGAGATACTCATCGGCCACCTTAATCGACTCGTATTACCAATTAAAATTTAATTATCGTCGAAATTAAGTCGTTACGATAGCTGACGCGCCAGAAAGTAAGAGAGAGAGAAAGAGAGACAGTGGGACAGAGAGAGAGAGAGATGGATAGATAGATTCGTCTACCATTCGTTGATTCGTTTTTCTACTCCCTTTTTACTAGCCAAGTTATATGGTAGTTGTCTTACCTATCAACTCTTCTAATCCTAGTTATCTTCATCCCTGTGTATGTGAACACGTGTGTGATGAGAAGAAAACCGGTACTATACTTACTTGAATAAATATATTTCATGGTGCTGACCAAATGATAGACTAGACGTTTTATAAACTCGATTGGTAATCTTATACTTTTATTCGTTTCAATCATGGAATTATACGTTCCAATGTAAATTTTCCATTTATCGGGTAGAGTATTTGTTTTCTACGTGTAATTTTCAACATAAACATAAATGAAGAAAGAAAGAAAGAGAGAGAAAGAATGAAAGTCATTGAAGAAAGGTGGGTAGTAAGCATGGGAAAAGAATAAGGTTTTCACTCTTCTCCCCTCTGTGGGAGAGCGTAACTTATAGCTCGTAGACACGGTATTTCTCTCTGGCTCTTTGAAAGCATTTTCTCATTAAAAAATTAAGGGGTGGAGAAAGAGACGCGAAGGAGAGAAAGATAGAAAGAGAAAATGAGTGTGCGAGAGAGAGAGAGAGAGAAAGAGAAAAAGGGCGGAGGAAAAGGGCGGAGGGTCGGTAAGTGCTCTGCGGCTCCCAGATGCGCCCGATATTATGTTTAATGATATTAACTTCTTACTTAATGGTCCGCGGTTCGATTCGAGGTGCGAAAGAGGCCTCCGATCCACATTGTGGAACCTGCGCACAAAAAAAAAAAAGAGAGAGAAGAAAAAAACGTAGTATACCCTGGAGAATAATTTTCGCGAGAAACTGAAACGTTAGAACAAAAGAAAGGTAGGGAGTGAGAGAGAGAGAGAGAGAGAGAGAGAGAGAGAGAGAGAGAGAAAAGGGGATGAAAGAAAGTAGGATGAGAAGCATATAAGTTCTTGATAAAAGTATCCTAATCGTTGAAATAAAAAAGAGAGATAGAAAATGGCTTAAAATTTCAGTTAGAAGCACCGTGCTTCTTGCAAAAATAAATCCGCGAGCACGCGCGGATGACCTCGGCCGTAAACCACACGATAAAAGCTATGGCTACCCTTCTTCTTCGCCATTAAGAGTGGAAGACTCGGTTTCCCTAAACCCTTTTACCAAGGGACATTGACCAACCGATCGATTCTTTTCTTTTATCCCTTTTACCGATAAAAATTAATAACTGTGTTTCAATTTGTAAAGGAAATTGCATTATTTATTTATATTTTATTTTATTATTTTCAACATTTTCGTATTTTTATTTATATTTTTTTTTTTGACAATTGTAATAATTCTATTTACACGTTTTGTTTCGAGCTTTGATAAATGCATTTGATCATTTGATCGAGATAAAAATTTGAACAAATTTTATAATAAAGTGGCCTAAGGGTAACCGACCCAAACAATATAAAAGTATAACGAAAACTTTTCATAAGCTCGACGTTGGCACCGTAACGAGCGCAGTTTTCATAAACTCGAATTGTTTCGAATAAAATAAAAAAAAAAATAAAAGAAAAAAGAAGAGAATCCTATGGACTGTACTCTTTCTTTTTCTCTTTCTCTTCATATTTTAAACAACAAAAATTACCCTTCAGCCGGTAAAAAATAAAATCGTTGTTCTCTACATTGAGTTCATTAAAAGATATTCCATCCTGCAGTTTCTTTTTTTTTCTTCTTCTTCTTCTTTCTCAAACTTTCTTTAACTCCGAACATTTTGTTAACGATTTAACGGGTCTACGAAATAATTTGTCAATAATTAAAAATAATTCCAGATGAGATAACTCCAGATGAAATAATTTCTAAAAATATCAATAATAATAATACTTATATATATTATTATTACTATTAACCACGATTGGGTTTCTATTTTCTGTTACAGGCTTCGCGAAGAGAGGGGAGACGCTGAAAGGGCTCTTGCATTGGATCACAAACCTAGAGATCTAAGTTCGCACAATGGTAAGCCTTATCTTAAATAAAATTAAAAAGTAAAATAAATTTGTACTTTTCTTTATGCATACAATAAAAAATAAATATACGAAAGATCGATTAGAATAAGGACCAAAAAGAAAAGAAAATGAAATAAGATGAAGAAGTTTCGAGTTTGCGAAGAGAACGCGGGAGCGTTAGTTTCGAAGATAAAGGATTCGATCGGTCGGATTAAAATATTACGGGGAATTAGAAAGAAAGGCACAGGATCCCGTGCCGCTCTCTGAAACTCGATATCGGACTTAATCTTCGAGTCCCTAAACGCCCGTCGGACCCACGCATGCACACATTTGTGCGTAAAAGAGAGAGAAAGAGAGATAGAAATAAAAGAATCTCATCTAGCAAGAGAGAGAGAGAGAGAGAGAGAGAGAGAGAGAGAGAGAGAGAGAGAGAGAGAAAGAAAAAGATAGACTCGTTCTCGTCGAGATGTCCATGATTTTTCTGCCTGGCTTCACCTTATAAATCCTGATTCGTTCGTTCGATCATTCAATCGATCGATCGATCGATAGATCTAACCATCAACGATTAAGTATCTCCCATTTCTTATTTAATCTTACCTTGCATTTCTAAGCTTCTCTCTTTTTCTTTCTTTTTTTTTTTATTCTTTTATTTTTCTTTGTTTCTTTGTTTTCTAGAAGAAATATATAAGAAAATTTCGTTGGAAAATTAAGTAAAAGAATGATAAAACGTTCAACTGGTATGTTTAAATCAGGATAAATCTCGTAAGAATCCTTTTTAACGAGGACCGAAAGGGTTAATTACGCGTAAAGGATGTAGGTACGATTTTGGGTTAACCCTTTTCGTTTCTCTTTCTGCTCTCTTAAACGTATACAGGGTGTTAGACTTTAAATGTATTCTATAGAGAGTTTCGTTTATTTCGATTGAATTATTTTATTCATTCTAATTTTGTTGATAATTCAATCGAATATGTTTTATTCAACTATTTGTTTGAAATTTCTTGTTAAAGTTGAAATTATTATTAAGTTAATATCATTTTGGGAAAACTTAAAATATTCCACCCTGTATATACGCATAGGATTGTATGCGTTAGTACATAGGAAATGTGTTTAATGCTATGCGTCACCCTGGATTCTCTTTCTTTCTTTCTTTCTTCCTCTTTCTATTTCTATTTTTCTTTCTTTTTCTGTTTCGTTGAACATCGACCACCGTTTGCCCAAACAGTATCTATCCACGTCAGGATTAAAATGCTAGGATATCAAATACTCGAGTTCATCGAGGTACGAGGGAGAGAAACCAAATGCGGAAGAGGAAAAGATAGATAGATAGATAGATATAGATAAATAGAAGAAGAGATAGATAGATAGAGTAGAAAGAAAGATGTGGAAAGTGGATAAAAGTCCGGGAGTGAGTTCTCTTGTCTAAACGAGGATGTACAAAGGCAAATAAAATCCATCAACTTGTCAGTTTAGTTTTAGCCGATAAAACAAAAAGAAAAAGAGATAAAGAAAATCGAACTATTATTCTTATTATTGATTTTAAAAAAATGTTCTTCAATACGTGATTAAAATTATCTTTCCATTCTATTATATATTTTCATTTATAAGAACAGAATGATTGGTCACGTGTATGTGTGTGCTTTGTAAGCGAGTTTCTTCCATTTAACCAATTTGATATTTTTCTCAAAAACTTAAGAATTTTCTTCTTTCTCTCTTATCTTTAACAAACATATTTGTTCACGAGTGAAAACAATTGTGTTTCTATTCTAATATATTTGTATTCATATAAACAAAACACTTTTCATCTAAGCGTGAATTCTATACAAGCATGTGTGTGTGTGTGTGTGTGTGTGTGTGTGTACGCAGAAAGAGCTTCTTATTGCGCAGACTCTGACTGAGTTGTTGTTTGGAAGTACTGAAAAACATCGACTAATGTTTACGTATCTTTCATAGGTTCCTCGAACGGTCACAGTCCCGTTTTGAATCTTTCGAAAACAGCAGGAAGTGGCAGTGTTGGTGAACATTCGGGTAGTGAAGCTGGTGCGTCGCATCGTTCGCAGGACGACGAGGAAGAGGATGATAATCTTTCGGAAGATCTCGAAGACGAGAACGAGAAAGACGAAGGTAAACTTTATTAATTCATTTTGATCATTAGTTTGAGGGTTCAATTTTATCTTAACCACGTAATGCGAAAGTTCGAATCAATTCATCATATTATGTTGTTACCATGACATGCGAAACGAATTTAAAAGTGAACAATAAAAAATCATTTGAAGAACATTCGTTATTATACATGAATAAAAAAAAGAATTATTATTAATATAATAATATTATATATATATATTCTACTTAACACATTGTACGTAAAAGTGATTGATTTGTTTTCAACAACATTAGGAGTTTCATTTTAAATCGAACGTTTGAAGAAGAAAAAGAAGAAGGAGATTATTTCTCGATTTCAACTTACTTGTTTAAAAATAAATGAATATACAAAAGAAAATAATCGTATTTTGTCGAAGATAGAAATAGAAATAGATGAGCGTATTAGAAAATTCGTAGTTAGCATTGAACGAGGAAAATCATAATATCGATTTGACTGGATACAAGGTAGAAGTTAAAAGATGAGTTCTTCGTTAGGACTTATGGGTCAGGCCCTCTCATCGATCATCAGAAGGACGACGTTCGAAGATTCGTCTGCTTGGATCCTGAGAAACTTTCTTCAACGCCTTGTTTTTTTCTCATTCGCACCGTTTCTTTGTTTTTTTTTTTGTATTTTTTAATTGCGTTTATTGTATTCTACAAGGCGCGTCACTTGTCGATAAATGAATTTTAATCAAATTTTCAATGAGAATGAAATCATTTTTTTTTATCGTATCGAGTAAATAAATTTAACGGGAAATTAATTAGATTTAAAATCAATTATTATTATTACTTAAGGATGAAAAAAGTTAAGCCATTGTAAATATTACAAAAGTGTTGACAGTGACGTGGGAGAAGGATCATTAGAGTCAAAAAGTTAGCTGTTTAATTTCATTTTAATCATGAAAAATCATCTTAGATAAGATCGGGAAGAAGTCATCAAGCACAACTCTTTCAAATTCAACAAAGCGACCTAATCGCATTGATTTCTAATCGATTTCGTTCATTGTCCTTAAGGCACGTTAATTGGCTTGACCAATTAGAGAACCACCCAATCGAACATCTCCGACACACACCTAGGGGGAAATAAAAAAAGAAAATACAAAATATAAAATAACAAAAAATCGATTATCTCAAATATTGAACGAAAGAAATAAGAAGAGTATAAAAAAAAAGGGAAAATAAAAAAACAAGTAAAAGAAGAAGGGAACAAATAAAACACTTTATATACAGGAATTAATATTCCACGCATTCGTCCGCACGACTTCCAACGATCGATACATTATTCATATTTCAACGTTAATTGCTTATTATGAATATTTCGAGTTAATAAGTTGCAAGATAAACGCAGCAGGGGGGTGGGTGGGTGGTTGGTTGGTTGGTTGGTCCATTTGTTCGTTCGATGGTGGGTCCGCGAAAAAGGTCAAGAACGAATGAAACGATGATAAAGTTTATTCCCTCTAAACAACATTAACGATTATCTTTCTAATTAAATATCACACATTTGTTTAAATTCATTTTCAAACAATTACCATTGAATATAAAATAAACATTAACGAAATTAACAAATATAAATCTTCTAAATTTGAATTTATTTAGGTTTAAAATATTAATCAGAATTTGCTTATAATTCCAAAAAGATCTCAAACTTAAAAATGTAGTAGAGTTCGATATAAATCGATCGAACACGTTGAAAAGGATTAGAATTAGCATCGAGTACTTTAAATTCGTCGAAAGACACAACAGTTAGACGTATAAATTGTCTGTCTTTTTTGGGGTGAGGGGACTGGCAGAAAAAGGGTAAAGGGTTGGGGTGGGGTATGAGGGGAAGTCTCTCGGATCGAAGAAAATCCGTGTCTCGCAGCGTGTCGTATGCAACGGGTACATCCTACCTATGGCGCTCATGGTGATCGAAATAGAACCCCATCGAATGCCCGTGGGAGTGTACACGCCCGTGGAATGCCGTTCTGATTTAATGAGACGCGCCACTATCTCTTTCTCGCTCTCCTTCCCGGAATCCAATCTTTCTCTCTCTTTTTCTTTTTTTTCTTTCTCGCGATTCCTTCCTTCTTTCCTTTTCCATTTGAATTCGCGAGGAAGGATACCATTGGGAAAATGAAAGAAAAAGGTATCATTGAAATGAGCCAATTGTGATTAATGAAATAGAAACGGAACGATTAATATTTTGTAATATATAATTATTGATAATAAAAATAGAAATAAATATAGGGGAATGTATACGTAATTATGATTTTTCCACGTAATGAATGAACCACACTTGTATTCAATGGATAAATAATAGAAAGAGAAAACAATTTGTGTTCGAGGATAGAAGATACAGTTAAAAGATCATGTTCAATTTTGTTATTTTTGAATTCCTTTTTTTTTTATCCGAACAAATTGTAAAAAGAATGAGAATGCTCTTTTTAAGGATTCACACGTGTCACACATGTTACCGCGGGCACTCACGACGATAGCAGAATGTCGTTGGTAAGAAAGAAGTAAAGGAATACGAGTGTTATATGTGTAGTTTCGGGATTCCAAAAGCTTTTTCTCAGGGGATCTGCCGATAATTGTAATGGTCGCTCGTGGCAAGATAGCGTTGAGAAAGAAAGAGAAGAAGAAGAAGAAGAGAGAACAGAGGAGAAGGATCCCCGAAGATATAAAAAAATAGACTTGACCATTTCTCTCAAGGAAGGTTGCGATTCTACTCTTGAGCGCGAAAAGTTGCTATCAAAAGGTGCCGGCTTCGCGAGTGGTGCGCTCGCTGCGCACGCGCGGCCGAGCATTAAATCGAGCAATGGCAATAAGTAACCAAATGCCGTTGGTGTTGTAGGTGCAGGCTGATAATTAAAAGACGATACAATAAAGCACATATCATTGGCCATAAAGCAGCGTCGGGATACTACTAAGGCGATGGTGTGGGCTGTTCAGAACACTAATACTTACATATACCTAATGTATACACTGATACAGATACAAATAAATATATGTGTGTGTGTGTGTGTGTGTTTATAGATATATACCACACTGAAAGAAAAGAAAGCACGATCACTTAAGACTGGAGAACCCACGCAGACATCTTGTCTCACCACTCCAGCCTGTTTCGCAATAACCATAAGGCATTCTGTATTCCAACGATCGCGTTCTGCCGCATTTTTCGATTCCTATAAAAACCTTCTTTCTTTTTCCTTAAATATACCTTTTCATGTTCTTTTTCCTTTCAATTTCCACACTTTTTCGTCGCGACAAATTAATAGACAGATTATTGAAAATAGGAAAGTAGTATAGGAAAGAGTGATAGTACGATCGGGGGAGGGTGAAAAGAGGGTTTGGAAGAATGTTTAATTCAGTAAATTTAATTCGTTAGTTCGGTCAGTCTTTCGTTCGCTCGCGGTGACGTTAAATCAGAGGAGTGGCGAAGGGTAACAAGTAGTTTTGCGAAGATTACGACTTTGGAACACGCACACGGCGTAACTCTTCTCCTACTTCGACCTCCCTCGAATGTTGTTCAGCCGATCGTTCGACTAAATTTATTAATGACGCTTCGTTCTCGTACGCCTGTCGCGCATTCGCGCGGAACCGCATGCATGCGATATGCGTTTTATATGAAAAGGACAAAGATAAAGAAGGAAAAAGGGAGAGAGAGAGAGAGAGAGAGAGAAAATGATCTGTGTGCGTGTATGCGTTTCATCTGGAATAGATAGACGTTCACATTGGAAAGAAAAAACAAGAAAAAAGATGTATTCTCGAGATGTATCATATCAAGATTTATAATCATATAAATTTAACCGAAATTCGTTGTTTGCCCCTAAGGCAAAAGTTCTTTTCGAAGAATCCTCTTTTCGTATGTATTTCAGTCGTATATGTACGGTGACACTCGCATTATAACCCCCAGATAAAATAATATTAATTATTGTTATTAATGTATAAGAATTATAGAAATGAGATAACTCCTTCAAAATATGTATCCATCCTTATATGTGTCTGTGTTCATTCTTTTTATTTGTATAATATAAGGAAGAAAAAAGGTACAATGATTTATATATATTGCCGAGCAAACACATGTCGAACAGCTGACCCAAACGTACACCAACAAGATTCTTATCTTTTTAATAAACGTAATAAATAATACAAAAATATACGTCGAATGGTTGTTAATGTTAAAAAAGGGTCGATCACCAACTCCTCGAACATATACTAACGACATTATTATTTTTGTTTCAGATTTATCTGACGTCCCAGAGAACCTACCACTTCCAGCACCAGGCTCAGAGAGTCCTCAGGCATTGAACTACTCTCAGATAGCCTCAGCAGCAGTCGCAGTGTCACAGGGTGCTCAGGACCCTTCGGTTTCGAGTACGGAGACATTGTTAAGGAATATCCAGGGTTTACTTAAGGTTGCAGCTGACAACGCGAGGCAACAGGAGAGGCAAATCAACTATGAGAAAGGTCAGTGGCAGGGCTTTCTTAAGACACTTGAGGGCGCTCTCCACAATTTTATTATCTTTCAGCTCTCCCAGAACTACATTAGGAGGCATTAGTATAACTTATTCTTTCTTTCCTTCTCTCTTATGTCGATTCATCGATCGATCTTTCTTTCCTTCAACGTACCTAATAATTTGTCCCTTTTTTTTTTCAACCCATCTACTAACTCCTATCCTACATTTTTTTTTCTTTCATTTCTTTCATTTTTTTTAGCCGTCATCCATTTAAAACCAGTTTTCATTTGATTTGATTTTATTTTACGTAACAAAAGTGCCAAAGCGATTGTTAACGAAATGTTTACAACGATCCAATTCGTACGTGACAAAAAAAAGGATCGTATGATTGATTTTTTTGTTTTCTTTTTTTGTCGGGATCGATCGTTAGGTCGTTTAGACGATGATTTTTCTTCTTCTCTTTGAAACTAAGTTTTTAGACAGTTATTATTAGAGAAAAAAAAACATAGTAATTATGAGTTAGTTTAATAATCGTATTCCTTATTCAAAAATTGATAGAATTACATGAATAATAATCTTGTAATGATTAAAATGATCACTATGGCACTCAAATGAATTAATTGACGACCCGAACATCCTTAGAAAAGGATGTCCTCATTTAAATCAAATTAGACAATTAATTATGGGAGAGCTGTGAAGATAAAAATCACGATGATTTGCCAGTTCTCGATATATATATAAATCATATTTTAATCATACTTATGCAAATTAGTATAATACGAATAGGATAGAAACACTCTGTTACCCTGATAAAAAAAAGAGATTTGTACGACTAAGTTTTGTGCACCAAGTGCACGATATATATATATAGCTAATATTAATAATAGTAATAATTAATAATAATTTCGAATTGATCATGATTGAGAAAATCATGTAAATCGTAGGATCTCTCGTCGGACAATGGTCAATCCATAAGAAATTTTGTTAACACAAATTATCTTTTTAAATCGTCGGACGAGGGATCTATCTTAAAAAAATAGATAATCGTACATAAAAATAAACTTAGATATATATAAGTATATATGTGCCGGTAATTAAGAGTGACCTAAGTCAAAATATTATACAAATCTATTTTATGATGTGTTTTGTAATATAGATAATTTATATACAAAATAAATCATAAAATTCATTTTTCTAATTTTTTCACTTAATCAGCAGTCATAATTATCAGTACATGTATATGTAATATTAATCATTGTGTTTTATTAAATATATCTATATATACATATACACACACATATATATATATATATATATACATAGATATGTATATATATATATTCACACATACGTAAGATATATAACGTTTTAACGTTAAGTTTAAGCGAAGGTAGATCATACTTAATAAGTTTGAACAAATCTAATTTTTGTGTGATTTAATGATCGACGTGAAATCAGTAATGGGTAATATTTAACTCTATTAACGATTAAATAAGTTAATTATCGTTAGGTATTATATATAATATATAATGTTGATTCTCTTATACTCGAGCAATGGCAGGTGAAAAAAATGTTGTAAATTTTGTTTGTTTTAATCATGCAACAATAGAATACTTAATTATGCAACACCTTACAAACATTTGCCGTTGATCGACTATATGATTTTTAAATAATCAAATGTTCGAAGAGAAATCATACCGTATCGTTTGTCGTTTTTTCTTTTTTTATTAATAATTATTAAAATATATAAAGCGATATGCGAGAGATCTTGAGAATGAGAGTAGCAGTGGTGTAAGTCGAGAAAATCGTTTAGAGAACACGAAGGATTCATTATTTTTTATTTGTTCAAATTTTTCTTATTTTTCTTACTTTTTTTTCTAAATTTATTTCATTGCCATTATTATACGTGTTGTTTGTTTGTTGTCAATTGAAAGAAAAAAAAAAGAAGAAAAAATCTCGGCCTTTACAAGTACACAGAAACTCAGCATTCTCATGGATTGAATTTTCTTCTTGTCATACGTAATTGTCATAGTTCTTCCTTTCTCTCTTTCTCTTTCTCTCTCTTTCTCTTTCTCTTTCTCTATTTAATATATTTAGTATTTAACGATTATCATGCAATGACTGTCAAGAAAAAACAAAATCAACCAACTATTTACTATTTCACATTGTTTGAATTGTCCAACATGTATATACACACACACACACACACACACACACATATATATATATAAACAAATATCTGAAATAAATAAATCATCCAAATCTAATATGATTATTCGTACGTGTCTGTCTACTTTCAATCGAACGATATATACATACATATACATGCAGAAATAAAATTGGATCGTCGCATGAAATTGGAACGAATCGACTTGCACCACTATCGACTTCCTCAATGGACAGTAAATTAAAGGTCGTAATAATTTGTTTATTAACCCTTTTTATACTACTCATTGTTCATCTTCATCTCTAAATTGTTCTTTGTAAAAAAAAAAACTATTCCTTTAATCATTGATATTCATTCATATTTAATATTATCTTAATGTTTTATCTTTCTCATAAACACATTACTGGAAATCTAATAAATTTGAACAAACAATTGCATTGAATAAACGAGGTCAAAGTTCAATCACATTAAACCAGCACGTTTACTGTCCATTCCAATACAAACATCTGTCTATCTCTCTTTCTCTAGTACTTGACCATCTTCTTCATTCCCCCCTCTCACCCTCTTCCTTTAAATTCTTTCCCTTGTTCATACCGAGCATCGAATTCGTCTCTGCGGCTTATCCCGAAATTTTGGCAAGCGTTTTAAGGTTCGAGTTAGCAGTCTCCCCATAAACACGAGTTTCGATAACCGAGTGTGTGCTACGAACGTTCGTCGGTGTGTACATTGTGGTCGCCGTTTAATAAATTCCAACCGAAACGTAACCCCGGGACTTTAATTACCCATTAGCCGATACAAAGTGTCATTTTCAGGGCCGTTAACTAATGCGTTCGCCAGCTTTAACGGTAGGAATGCCAGGCATCGTGGCCGGCCAAGCTACGAGACGCTTAACCAACCACCCTACCCCCACTCCACCACCACCCATCCTCTTCATTCTATCTATCTCCTTCTTCTTTGTGTTCTTCCTACGGTAGACGAGAAGATTTTGGAAAATATCTTTGTGTTATATTATTTCTAATAATTATCCAAAATTATTTTTATTTATCATATCACACTTTAGCAGCAACCAATTTGAGAAAATCAAAAGTTAGAAACTATAAGAAGAAAAGAGAAAAGAGGAGAGAAAGAGAGAGAGAGAGAGAGAGAAAGAAAGAGGATGTTTAAGTTCTCGAAAGCAGATCACCTTCATCGAAACTGTGGAGCATCCTCCCCTTTGTTCTACGACTCCTTTACTTGCCCTAAGGAGGAGTAACAAAGAGAAAGATAGAAAGAGAGGACACGGAATTTAATACGAAGGGACACTTGGGTAACAGAGGTGAGGGGAAGTTTAGGCGCGGACGCGAGTCGGTTACTTTGGACACGTGAATGCTAACGAGTTCATCTCGACCTCGTTGCGACGTTAAGCCACCAAGAATGCAAGGCGTTGTTATTGCTGGCTGGCTTAACCCTCCCTCATTCCCTCCCTCACCCCTTACTTTCTATTTTTTTCTTTTTCTTACAGTGTCTTTAAGTGTATTTATACGCATAACGTATACACGCTTGTGAGTATGAATATGAGTATGAGTATATATATGTGCGTGCATATATTTATATATTACATGTATATATATATATATATATATATATATATAATTTGTGGTATGAAAGAAAAGGAATAGATGGAGGGAAACGGAAAGGGAGCGAGAGAATCGGAAAGAGAGTTAGGAGGAGAGAGGGCCGATTTAATACTCGAACGAACCAGCAGCTCGTTTTACACCAGATGGGTTTACATACGGCCGCTATCGCGTTACCAGTCGTTCGTTGTGCGTCTATAGGTATAGATAGAAAGAATGAAAGAAAGAATGAAAGAAAGAGCGAGAGGGAACAAAATATCGTTTTATATAATTTACAAGATGTTATTCACCGAAAAGATATTGAGAAAATGTTGCAACGAAACTAAATCGCCGTTTAAGAAAATATATTCCACACGCGATTATTGTTCTTTATTCACATTATATATTTCATTGATTGTATAGAAAATCAATGTAATAGATATTTTGGATAGATCGTTCAAAATGTCCTTTTCTGGCTTATTAGTTTTTGTTTTTTTTTTAACGGATTTCTCCGTCTCTCTTTCTCATGCAAAGATAAATACCCTTGCTATTCCTCCGAACTCTCCTTTTCTCGTTACACGTTTTAAGGGGAGAAGAAAACCGGTGGAGATCGTTAATAGAAAGAAGCGCGTTGTCGCGAGAACAATTCTCCATCGTCTTTCGACTTTTATCTCCAATTTATGCTATCCTTTACCTCCCACCCCACCCTCTCTTATAAACACACAAAACATATACATATGCACACACACACACACACACGCACACACATACTTATATATATAAAGAGTAAGTTGCTCCAGGATAATGACTCCGAGTCTCCGTGCGTAGTCTCCTGCGAAGGAACGTAAGGAAAAAGAATCAAGAAATAAAAAAAAAAATAAATGAAAAAATACACAGAGAGAAAGAGAGAAAAATCGAAAATCGAAGGGGTCCTGATAAGTTAACGCTGCAGTAAGAGGGACAATATGAGCCGGTAGGATGGTACGTGAGAGAAGAGAACTTGCTATCTTCGATCCTCGACCAGATAAGACCTTGGGGGAGTGGGAGGAGTGGTAGAGGAGAGGGTTTCAAAGAGTGAGAGTAAAAGAGAGGAAGAAATAGAGATAGAGATAGAGATAGAGAGAGAGAGAGAGAGAGAGCGCGAATTGTGCGAGCATCGTAACCAAGAGGGACCCACGTAAGGGTATAAGGCCCGGTTAAAGGCTCTGCAGTGGAATATAAAGAGGGGATTGAGTTGTAGCCGCGAGTGGA